TCTGGCAGGATCAGACTCCGCTCGAAGGGGATTCCCCTTTGGGCGGAGTCTGATCCTGCCAGCCACCATAAGCGTCCCCCTATAGGAGTAGAAAAGGCAGGATAGGAACACTGACGATTTAAGAGGCTTAAGAAAACAACCAACTAAATCCAAAGCATTTGTTACTTATAATCTAGTTCTGACTCTTTGATGAGTTCCATTCGACAAGAAGGGTAAGCGCAGTGATAGGGACCGACTAAAAGTACTAATTGTTGAGAAGAAGGACTCCGAATCTTCAACGCTGACGAACTCCTTGTACTGTCCATCTATGCGAATTCCTGTGATTTAATAGAAAAACGAATGCAAGAAGAACAATGCTCGCGATCTTTCGAATGGGGTAATTTTATTTCAAAAGAGATCCCTCCTGCCCAAATAGTGGTGAAAGAAAAACTGAACCAAAAGCTCCAGAGGCTGCAGATTGTTTGAACACTGTCAAAAAAAGCGTTGCCAGTGATGTAACAACAGTCAAGAAGACGAATAAATGAAAGGACATCGAATTTCTTTGTTTATTGTTGTATTTAGATATTTAACAATTTTGCGAAGGGTGCGGTCCTCAGAAAAGCAGATAGCTAGTGTGCAAAACAAACCAACTACGACAGCAGATGAAGGATAAAGTCTTGGAGCTTTGATCAATCCCGTCTGAGAGATGCGCCCACGCATTCGACCTCCATTCATAGTTGTACTGGTGTGTTGATTGCGAATGTGTCCTATACAGTGGTTTCCGGCGGGCAGTCGATGAACGAGTCAATGCTTTTATCCTGTCGGACGAGTCTAGTACCAATTAGCCGGCCCCGGAAGGATGGAAGACTAGATAAGAAAAAGGAGGCTTCTGTGAAGATCGGATAAAGGGAAAGCGAAATGACTGCTGCTTGTGCTACCATTGGGCCTTTTATACTGACTTCCTAGAATCGCATAATGGCATCAGTGTCGTCTTTTTTTGACAATGTTCAAACAGTCGGCAGCCTCTGCTTTTGGTTCAGTTTTTCTTTCACCACTATATTACTTCTGAAATAATATATGCTCATTTGAAAGATCACGAGCATTATTCTCCTTGCATTCGTTTTTCCAATAATATCACAGGAATTCCCATAGACGGACAGTACAAGGAGATCAGCTATGAAGATCTTCAAAACTCCCATTACTACGGCTTCCACTTGTAAAAGCTACATAAGTCTTTTCCTATACTGCCGCAATCCGCAGTACCGAGCTCCGTCATCGAACGAAGGTGATACCGCGAACAACGCTGTAAGTCCATAGAGGCTTCGGTCCTCTGAATGTTTCTGAGAATGATAAGGAGAATTGAAAAGGCTTTTTTACAATCAAGTCGATGTGAATATCGAACCTCAAATCACTTATAAAGTAAATGCCCAGGTCATGAACCACGAAATTATATCTATAACCAACACCCATTGCATTGCCAATCCGAAACAGTGAAGTCTTAGTAGGATTGACGGGTACCCCATTGTGTTTTGCCCACTCCATCATGCGAGCGATAGATAGGGTAAGGGCACGTTGGACTTCAGAACAGTTGATACGATTATAAACACCGTAGACTTGACATCGTCCACGAACATTTGTACTTTAGCAGCAAGGTGTGTCTTCAACCTGGCAGGCAAGTCATGTGTATATGCTAAAAAGAGGAGAGGGGACAACACACCCCTTGTGGTACGCCACTTCGGCATTCGTAACACCTGGAAAAGGAGTTCCCGACTTTTATACACTATTCTCTTTCAGTCGGGTAGGAGCGAATCCATGCCACTAAAGTTTCGCTGACACCGAGCTGTGAGAGCTTTGAAAGAAGTCTCATATGATTAACCTTGTCAAAAGCTTTCGAAAGATCGAAGTAGATGACATCGAAATTACTTCTGTCATTAATGGCCAGATTCCAGTCGAAAACACTGTCAGCCTGCTGAGTAACTGTAGAAGCTCCCGGGGTAAAGCCGTGTGGCTCGACTGGAATGAGTTTCCGCTCGGTGATCAATTTTTCAAGCTTGAGCCTAATGAGTTTCTAAAGAATCTTCACCGGTGTGGGAGAGATGCCGACTGGTCTGAATGCAGAGCAGAGAAGATTGTTTAGTTTTAGGTATCGTTGTGACTATTGCTTCTTTCCATAAACGAGGGACTTCACTGGCGTATAGTGAAATGTTGAAAATCGCCTAGCACACCCTCAATATAATATGACCCAAAAAATGTTAAATACCTCTACAAATGGCTCGGATCCCTCCAAACACATTTATAATTATCAGAGGCATTCTTCAGGCCTCAATATCCCATATTTATGATTATGATTATGATTTATTATCGGAAAGCAAAGAAAATAACAAAACAGCAAAAGGAAACACAAACAAGTCACCGATAAGCAGTAATTTTAGACTAATGGGGAGCAACAGAGGGGTCTGCTTGAAGAGGGGTTGGAATTCGGCTCGGAGTGGCCGCCAACACTGCAAGCTCGTACAGGACGACATATGTAGAACTCCGGATACCATCTTAGTAGGTCCGCCAACCTGCCGAAACCCAAACCAGCGTCGCAGACGTCAAGGGGATAGTGTTATGCAGAAAATGAAAATCAACTACTCAAAAAAAAAGAAAAAGTATGCATAAAATAACAGTTTTCTGAGTCATACAAAGTTATCAACATAACAGCAAGGTTAAGTCGAGTCGCTTCTCTGCCTGATAAGTTATTGACTGTTTAGTTTCTTGTTCCTAAAACCAACCTCGAGACACTAAAATATCTTTTAATTTTTTCCTAAATGAGCTGGGAGAGCTAGAGTAAACCACGGAAGGCGGTAACTCATTCCATAAACTAACTATTCTTTGAGTGAAAGAATTCCGGTATTCCGCGGTGAAAGTTTTTTCCCTTAATAGTTTATAGCTATGACCTCTTGTACGCCCAATAGTTGATGATTTCCGGAATAAAGAATCAAAATCCAAATCCACTAGCCCGGTGGAAAGTTTGTAAACAAAATCGTAATCATACAACTTTCTTCTCATTTCTAAGGAATTTTCGTTCAGATGGCGCAATCTTTCTTTATAAGAGATGTGGAAAATACCTTTGCGAGCAAAAATACGCTCCGTGAATTTGGCCTGAACACCCTCTACAAGATCTACCATGTTGCGTGTGGAGGGACTCCATACCATGGGGCAATACTCCAATATAGGGCGTACATAAGTAGAAAAGAGCTTAAACAGAGTTTTGCTATTTCTTGTAGCAAAAGCACGCAAAATAAAGTTCGCC